GAATTCTATCCACTCTTGTTGAGCTTTCCTTACCACTGAAATTTCCTCCCCTTTTGCGTTGTTGAAGACAATCTGGTTCCTTGCCTTCCATATTTGCCAGAGGAGATTAATTGTTAATTCTATATGCTCCTTGCCATTGACTCTTTGAGAAGCTTCTAAGATTCCTTCCCACCATCTCCAAAAGCAAGCCTGCAGATCTATTAATCCATCCCAGTTGATTGGACTGATTTTCCAGATTCTCTTTGCATATTCACAATCAAAGAACAGATGCTCTATAGTTTCAATTCCCTCCCCACAGCTTTTGCAAATGTTGTTCCCCATCCCTGTTCTGCCGTGCACCAAGTCATTGACTGGAAGACAGTTGTGTAGACATTTCCACATAAAATGTTTCAGTTTGTGTTTGACATTTGTTCCCCACAACTTCTTCCACATACTTTCCTTCCTGTTATGGCTACTTGTCTTCTCCTTGAGCTGCATTGTTTTAGTTGCCTGTGCCTCCATTTCCTTTGCTAAAGTATACCCTGACCTCACTGTATATTCCCCATTCTTTGAGTAATGCCAGATGATCCTGTCTCTCCTTTGGTACATACTGAGTGGTATCCTTACAATCATTTGGGCCGTCTCTCTGCTGAAAACTTGATTTATTAGCTCCTTATCCCATTGCCCTTGTTTAATCAGGTCTTTGACATATTGGATGCTTCCCAATGCTGGTCTATCATGTTCCATTCTACCATCTCTTGAAACAGGTATCCATCTGTCTTGCCACACCTTGATTGTACTTCCATCCCCAACTTGTTTTCTTATTCCATTTTTCAAAAGGAATCTGGCGCTCAGAAGACTCTTCCATAGGTATGATGCTGAAGTAGGGGCATGCTTCATCCAGTCAGATTCTCTTTTCATATATTTAGCTCTCATAACTCTACTAACAAGCCTGTTAGGCATAACAATGATTCTCCAGAGTTGTTTTGCTAGCAAAGCTGTGTTGAAAATTTCCAGATCTCGAAAGCCTAGACCACCCTTTCCTTTAACCTCAGTAAGTGCCTTCCAATTCGTCCAGTGTATTTTTCTTTGATGCTCGTCTGCCCCCCACCAAAACCGTGCCATTTGTTTACTAATGTCTCTACACATTCCTTTTGGAATTCTAAAGCATGACATTGTGTAATTTGGGAGTGCCATTATCACTGATTTCAGCAATACTTCCTTTCCAGCAAGACTCAGTAGATTTCTTTTCCAGCTTTGTATTCTCTGTGTTACACTTGCTTTTACTTCCCCAAAAACCTGATTCTTTGACCTCCCTATCACCATAGGAAGACCAAGATACTTCCCACTGAATGCTTCTCTTAGATTTCCAAGTATACTGCATACTTCCTGTCGGGTATCCAAATCAGTGTTCCTACTGTAGTAGATAGCAGACTTGTCCAAGTTGATTAGCTGTCCAGACGCTCTTGCATATTTGTTCAGTAGCTCTTGAACCTTCCAAGCTTCCTGGTTTGTGGCTTTGCAGCAGAGCAAGGCATCATCTGCAAAAAAGAGATGTGTAATGGGGGGGCACTTTCTTCCCACTTGGATTCCTGTCCACATTTTACTTGCTGCAGCTTTGTTTATCAAGTTTGAGAGTGCCTCCGCCACAAATAAAAAAAGGTAGGGGGATAATGGGTCTCCCTGTCTTAAGCCCCGCTTAGGTTGGACATATCCTACTTTTTCTCCATTAAGATTAAAAGAATAGGAGACAGTAGAGAGGCAATTCATAATCCATCTAACCCAAATGGGGCAGAATCCCATTTTTAGCATTATTCTTCCCAAAAATTGCCATTCCACTCTGTCATAAGCTTTAGACATGTCAAGTTTGATAGCCATAAATCACAAATCATATTCAGGGTAATTTTGGTTGAGCACCAGAAATATAAGAGGGCTAACCTTGTCTGTTTGGATTGCTATTTTCTCTAAAAAAAAAAAAAAAATTATATATATCAAATCGTTACAATATATATTTATGTAAAAATAACAATTCAAAAGAACTCTCTATTTTTCACTTTTAAAAAGTCCCTCGTGAATAATGGGCTTCAGGTTTCTGTCTCTTTTGGCTATTTCTTTTTTTGACTTATTGATAAGAGAATCATTAGACAAGTGAATTTTCTAAATGTCTATTATAGGTTATTGACTTTTAAATTAACTGATAAGCATTGTGATTTGATCGTGAATCAAAATGATAACATTTTAGATAAGCTAGCACGAAAGAGCTTTTTTTTTTTTTTTGGGGGAAGGGGGGCTACGATGAACATGCATTTCTGTTGTTCTTTTGCAGGCGAAAAGAGTTGAGACAAACTAAAATATCCATTTCAAAAGGGACAAACAATAACCGAAGAAAGTCCTGTCAAAAATATATAGTAGTACTATAAAAAGTTAGAAAAGAAAATCCTTTTTTGGTTGCAGCAGCCAGCCACGCCACGCTACACCAGGCCACAACCTTAACCGCTTAATTGGGCCTTGCAAAATTGATTAATGCGCCGAGGCCCGCTACGTCACCGTCACCCATCCGCTTTTTGTCTGCTGCCACCATGTGACGTGGCAAGCTTCAGGGAATGTGGGTTGCCGGTCCACCGTTTAAGGGAGATGGACGCGTGGGATTGGAGGATGGGCCACCGCTTGAAATGTAGTGCTGGCTGATGTTCACTGTGGGCTTTTTCTTTTTATTTTCAGTTGGAAACTTGGGCCTTTGATCTCTCAATGCGTTTTTATCACCGCGAATTTTAGATAACAAACAATTATAATTACTTTTTTAAAACAGGAATATGTCACTAGTTTTAGAGAAATAGACCGGAGTTAACAGGGACGGATTCATGAGTAGAATTCGTGTGCAAGGTTCATTGACTCGCCGACTTTTGATTGAAACAAGGTGCACAGCCCCTTGGCCAGCATCCAAACTCACCTCGCAGGTTCACCAGCTTCCACGTAACATAAGAGGCAGCAAAATCAGAGGCCTACCCTCATATTAACTTTTTTTTTTTTTTTTTTTTTTTGTGTGCATAGATATTTGTAAGATTATAACTATTTTATCTCTTTTTCTTTAAATATTTTTTAGAACTTTACAACATAATTTGTATCTGTTTGTTAGATCTGTTCTTTGATATTCGTGTAAATTTGTTCTTTAAATATCCGTAGATATCTGATTTGATGATATAGCTACTATCATTAGTATAGATTTTAATGAATTTACCACGTTTTCTAGATAAAAAAAAAAAAAAAAAGAACCTGGAACTTGGGAAAACAAAAAGAGTCGAAACTCGTCCTCAATCTTGACACGCTTCAAGCTGAGCTTTGCTTGCTCGCTCGCTACTTGTCTGTTCTCAATGACGAGCGAAGACCATCAAGTTTATCCGTTCACGAAAAAAAAAATACAAAGAAAAAGAGAACCAGGAAGAACTACAAATGTACAGCATTATGCTGCATAAATTGGACAAGTATTTATTTAAGGTGTCATGATGATTACAGTTTCCGGAAGGCCGATTGTTTTATTTGTTAGCACAATGACGCTATTTCGTATAGAAACTCATGATCGTATTGCACTTTTATTCTTGAGTCTCGTGTACAGCTAAAACAACTCAATTCGGATGGCTAAACATCTGATAATGTCTCGTGTACAGCATTTACGTTTTTCTTTTATATAGTGCTATAGACTCACCTCCTTCTGATGTCGGTAGAGCGCACTCTAGTGCATTTGACAGCATGATGGCATTTATTTTATCTCAGGCTCTCAGAGCCTCCATTTCCCCTCTCAGTAGTCAGTACACCAAAAAAAAAAAAAAAAAAATATGCACTTGAGATCTGTGGTAGGTGGTATGCCAACATTTCCAAACTCGTCTCTCGTCAATTGTGAATTGTAACTCTACGTGCCTTCTTCAAATTTTTTTAGCACTTATTTGATTTAGAGGTAGTTTAGTTGCCTCCGATTTTCAATGATTCAGTTGGATCTGTCCCTTTTCTCATAATATAAGATTAGATGTAAGTGTAGATTGTCTAATCTAGAGGTGATTTAGCTGTTTCTGATTTCTAATGATCCAGTTGGATCTGTCCTCTTTTATATAATGTAGGAATAAGTGGAAGTGTAGATCGCTACCGTGTGACTAAAATGAAAATGATTAATCTTTTATGCACTGATAGTTAGTGTATACACTTTCACCATTAGATGCATGACACATAATTCGAATTTGAATTTGAAACTCAAATTTTACATATGTGTCGTATATCCAACCGCTATCAGTGTATAACCGTCAATGTAAATAAAATTTATCCAAAAGAAAATACGCCAAAAAAAAAAAGAAATTCTTTTTTTTAATGGGTAGAACGTTGTGCTCTTTTATCAACATCGCCGCTGGGCCGGCCCAAGGTACATGGATGTATTGATGTGGATGAGGGGGTACGTATTCAGTATTCTTACGCTTGTACTTTAGTTCCCAAAAGCCAAATCCATTCTTGTCGAGGGCGGGAGAGGAGTTGTGTTTGTTCGATAGCGTACAGAAACAAGTTCCAAATTCACTGAAGAACATTTGGGCAAACCAAACCCACTTATTAACTAACGGTCACTGATCCAGATACTTGGAATTTTCTCCAGACTGACTGCTTCTTCCACGTTTCAGCTAAAGTCGCCATGTAAAGAGGACGTGATGACTACCACGAAGAACAAAGGAGACCGTGCTAATAATCTGAAAATCTATTTCAAGTCTGGAGATCTCTTCCAACAAGACACTGTCAAGCAATAGTACTGGACTGATGGCTCCTTTTCTAACCAAAGCACTGCAAATGCTGCAATTGCATGGGGTTGTTCATGACGTTTCAGGGTTGTTACTTATTAATGCACCACCATCACCACCACTCTGCAAGAAAAATATATATATATGTATATATATGCGTTGTCGTTATTTAATTTAGTGCTCAAACATTGAGCAATCATCAAGATGTAGAATGGGTCAATTCCAATCTACTGTGCTAATAGTAAAATATAAGTATCGAGCCATTGCTCGCACTGTATATACTTTTAGTAAATCAATACAATTCTATCATTTCGAAAAAAAAAAAAAGAGAAAAGGAGGACTGCAACAAATATGGGACCAAGTGCCAAAGCTGCACACAAAGGGGCTAAAAGGAAATTCACTCTAAAATATATCTCTCTTTTCTTGGAGAATAAAATATATGTATCTCGTCTGTCCATGTCAAAATGCTCTTTGCCAAATGGGAATCCGGAATGGCAGAGGCAAGCATCTTCTTCTGCTACGAATTTACAAGGCGAGTATAATATAAAGTTCCTATCAGAGTATCATCCTCAAGTCTGAAACATCATCTAGTGAAATCATTTAACGGTCAATATTGCATATGGGTTCAGCAGCCAAGCTTAATGTACCATTAATCCTCAAAGGTGCAAATAGGCTGGTGAACCTCAAAACGTTGAGCCGCGTATTGATCCATTAGAGACGTCATTGGGGCCAAGGAAAAGCAGAGAACACGTTAACTCATGGCAAACTTCTTAATATCAGTATTCTTCCCCCGCATCATGGAATTCTTTGAGATATTTGCAATCTTTCACCCGAAACCTGCTTGTCCTCTTAGTTTCCTACCATTTACCAAGACTTCAAACATTTGATTCATCAGCTGGCTTGATTCAACAAAGCTGCAGCAAGAGTGCATTGGCCATTAGCAAATGCTTCTTTGTCTATAAAATCCCTGATATCTACCTACCATCTACCTGCTGAGCACAGTTGTCTTTGGCCTTCATTTGCACCTCAGCATTGGCTCGCCCTGCAGGTTGGGAAATTGTTCGTTTGTGCAATATGAGAAAGCATCATCAAGCAGCCATATCAAGAAACAAACAACCTGTAGTTTCACCTGAAGAAGCATTGGAACAGATCACGTTTAAACTACGAGTACACCTAGATAGAAGGGAAAAAATTCCAAGCTTTACTTCCCACCCTTAGCATAATGACATTAAGTAAATACTAATTTCAAAAATTTGCACATCCATGACCCCTTAAAGAAGGGGGGGCAAAAAAAAAAAGATTTAGCCTCTAGATACTAAATGTCTAAAACAAACCCAATCAAGCATGTTAGCTACTTGCTTTGAATTTTACAGTTTCTACACTGAAAAGATGCCAAATAGTACATAATCCACAATTCAAACTCCAGGAATAATCTCTAGATTGAACAAAAACTAAATATAAAAAAAGCCTCTGGAATTACCTATTGACACCAGGATAAAACTAAATGAATTTTGATTCAAAGGTAAGACAGCAGGCAGTAGATCTTGTTCTGTAAAAGTAGACAGAAAAGCACTAGGCTAGACTTCTCGCTTTCCATCAGAAAATGAACTTCTTGAACGGTAAAAAATGTTTATTGAATTATTTTATTAAAGTTGTGGATGTACATCTACAATTAGCATATAATAAACAACAACAGAGAGTCACACTTAGCTTCCACCAAAAGCAAAAACCGATAACAGTGGTCCTAGTGTTAACCTTTCAAGCCTCGAAAGATTTTATTTTAGTAACAGCAAGTTGGTTTTCATCAAATCCATTCTACTCTTGGCTTTATGATATATAAACATCAGGAGAGAAGAAGGATAAGAAAAGCCAAGCAACATACCAAGTAACACAACAGAGGAGAGAGGTCAGCTCTCATTTTGAGTAGCTTGCAGCTTAGTGCTACAAACCGCCAAAATCCTTGGAGACTAAATAGAGCAGCAGCTCTCTGGAAACAATTGAACATTTTTACTGCAGGAATAACTGCAAAAACCAGTAATCTGTGCAGAGAATTATGCATAAATTGAAGTTGCATTTGACTGGTTGTCCTCAATTCACTGTTCAGTGACTGATGCAATTCAGCATTAAGTCCAGAGTCTCAGAGGCTTCCAACAATTTATCCTCTGAACGTTGACCTATCATATTTTGTTGATGTCAGACGGGGGTATCGAGAGACTGGTTCAACTTAATTTCAGAATCCAACTTAGCTGCAAATGCCAAGGTTGACCGGAGGGCTTTCTGTACCGAGGTTGGTGCATTCAGCAGGAGTGATGTCTTTGAAAAGCTTGACATTCCTCCAGTGCTTGGTTGATCCAATGATTGATCGAATGGCTGGAAGAAGATGCTGACCTTTGCGGCATTGCAGGGAAGAATTTGAGTCCATCAAGTGCATATTCCTTCCGTTGGACCAATGGCAGACCCACGTTAACAATGCTGCGAAGCGTGTCACGTTGGCTAATAGCCGTAGGATTGTCTACTGGAGTTTTTCCATATGAAAGAAACTTCATGGCCTGAGGCATGGACGAAGGTGAAACTATGTTTGCTGTTTTATTCACTTTTAACTCTAAGTCCGCACTGCTTTGGGCAGCTTGATTGTCAATTTTGACGCGAACTTCACTTTTCAAAGGCGAGTCAACTAACTTGCTTTTACTTACCTGCCCTAACAATGATTCACTGACCCCATAATCCCTATTAAGAGACTCATCCAAAGGACGTTTGCCAAACAACAGAAAGTTTATTCCCCTTGGCATCTTTGAAGGTGCACCCTTGGCTAGGTCATTCGACTTCTGAATGCTGTCTTCAAGGTTCCTAGTCATGCTATAGCTGACTTTGTCACTATTGTCTCCTTTAAGATGTGGAACAGCTTGTTTATGCTTACTGGTATCACCTGGTGGCGATCTCACATGCGAAATGAAGCAGATTCCTTTTGGTGTCTGAGCAGAAGGTCTATCCAGATGCTCTGACGCTTTCTTCTCTGTACTCTTACCAGAAATGTTTGCCATTACGGAGAACTTGGCATCAGCATGCTGATGAGGGACACCTTGGTTATTCACCTGTTTCTTAGAAATTGTCTTGCTTACCAGGGTTGGAGACTTGGATTCAGGCTTCGTAACATTTGAAGTTGGCAGAGAACCATCCTTAGCGGAAATCTGAAGTAATTCCAGCAAATAGGACATCATATGCTGGAAAAAATTAGTTCTGGCCAGATGCAGTGAAAGTATTGAAGAATAAAGAGAATACAAAGACAACATAAAAAAGCATAGCAGGAAGCATTACCTCATGCGAAAACAAACAACCAGCACCTCTGCTGCAAAAGCCATTGGTTACAATATTGTTGCAAGGATACTTGGACAGTTGATGATCAAACGGGCAGTTGTCTCCTTTCATGCAAGAATGTCGTGCAAAGTAGGAGCATGGCTGCAGCAGTAAAATCATCCAAAAAAAAAAAAAAAGAGATTCAACATGGTTGCTCGTTAAAAGAGTACAACTTCTAAATCAGCTACAATTTACAGGATTATATAACAATTTTTTAATCAGAAAGGTAAAGAAGCTTTAAAATTCTAACATCAACATGAAAAGCACAACATGCAGAGGTGCAGAGGTTTATTGAATTATTCATATGACTTTATTCACTATATGTGTTTCACTAAGTTTTACACTGAACAACAACAACGTCCAATGACAATCCTAAATTGTCACTTGGAATAATTTAAAGTTTACCAACAGTTCAATTTGATCTCTTGATTAAATAAAGGTGTTCGAAAGCTTTCAAAAAACACAATAGTTGTTTAGAGACAAACATAAAAGCAAAAAATTCACCAATTGAAGTCTAGTGCTTATGGAGCAGAAAATACAGCTACTAAGCATGAGGTTCATAGAAGAAGCACCTCAAATGATAGATGCCAAAAACTAATTTTTATACTTCTTAAAATCGTAATGGCCAATAATAACAATGAGGGGAGCTACAATTTTGATGAACATGAGAATATGGAAAAGACAATGCATCCATTGATAGTACTGGCAGTACAAGACGAGATATAAATGCAACAGGCACTCATGATTGCTGTTGTGACATTGTTATGCACTATGAAGATATAGAGCAAATGAGCAAACCTTAGATTTTGTCAAGGGCGTTGTATCATGTGAAAATTTGCACTTCTCGCCCTGTAAAAACCAAAAGCAAGAATCTAGGTAAACAAAGATTAGTCAATTAAACATGGTAAACAGAACAAATCAGAGTATGGAACCTCATACAACCTCTTGACATCTGCCATTGAGATAATGGCGGCAATATGTCACTGTCTTGGGTTTCGACAGTGGTTGTAGCTTCAACCTTTTAACACCAAGCTCTCTATTCTTTGCTGCTCTTTTAATCCTTTCTTTTTTCTGCATCATGGAGCGGTGTAAATGAGTCAACTAAAGAAAATGGAAATAACATTACCGACAAATCATCCTCAAAAGGAGCAGCTAATGATCCCAAAGCCTACTATAACTGATATAAGTATACCTTTTTCTTTTCTCTTCTTTCTTTGGTTAAAGGACCCTTTTTCCTTTTCTTTTTGCCAACACTAGCTTCCTGCAATCAACAGCAAATCAAAATAGCTGTCGTAAGCATTACATAAGCATCAAGTGGGAAGCTATATTGAGTTTATTTAGATAACATGCTGGTGACATCCTTGACATTTTATTTACATCGTGATCTGAGCTACCTAGAAACTAGCTATTAGCGTGTCATGGAAGACAGTAAAATTATTCCAACATCTCCTTTATCTTTCTTTCTTTTTAACCATTGGCCAGAACTCAACATCACGAAAGATTAAGAAACAAGCAGAAAAAAGATTCTGGTACTTTTTAGAAGCCTTCCATGAACATATCCAGAATAATTCCAGTTACAATCATTTGATTTCAAGGGAGGTCTCAAAGCTAAAATTGAACAATCACAAACAGTATCACCTGTCATGATTTATCATAAGAAACAATTTATCTCAATTACTCGTAATGATTCTAATGCAAATGAAGGTCTAAACCAATATTTTACTATTCTTATAAAGAAATGCTACATTCTTCAAAAGCAACAATAAAATTGAAAAATAATGCCCTGTCTAAAAATTAGTAGTAAGAATGAAATTACCGAATCAAAATGTTAAGAAAAAACAGAATGGAAGCTCAAGCAAGTTAATTTGGCTGGTAGTACGGACAAAGTTAACCATGATAATCTGAAGACACACAACAGGTCACACGCAAAGAAGTCCAAATCAGCATTAATAACTTCGGACCAGAGACTTCTACACAAAAAATCCACAAAATATGTGATCAAGGACGTCTGAAGCATATAGTGCTTATGAATTTTCCTTACCATTTTGGCATCCACAGAACTTTTATTTTCAGCTGTATCTTCATGCATTAGTCCATGCTGAGATAAGTTTCTAGAGAAATTGCTGGATGATCTGTCTTATTGACTCCTAAAACTTGCTCTGCAGTCAATCCAATCTCCAGAGAAGCATCATAACCATCTAAAGTTTTAGTTGCAGTTTCTTCGCTGTGAGAAAAAACTTCAGCACTTGTATGCTCTTTTCTGAAACCTTCTGTTTCCGAATCAACTGTGTCCAAAAACATAGAACTTCTCGTATCACAATCCCCCAGTCTTGCATCTCCATCATCACGAGTGAATGCTTCTTTATCAGTATGTTCAGAAATCTGCACCTTACTGACTTCTTCTCCTCCAATGATACAGCATCTTCATATAATAAATCCATTTCCTCACTAATTTCCCCTGAAATTTCCCCTTCTTCAATCTCATCATCTTCAATGGCACCAAAGGACAAGTCCAAGTTACAGATGTAATACAAGTTTCTCCAATTCTTTCTGTTTCAGATGCAATTCATGCTCAAGTTTTTAAATGCCCCTCCATGGTAGGGTTCATCGCATCATTGCTTTCAACAGGTATTGACATATCCGCAATCCCATCAATGTCAACAGATGAACTCACAGTTTCAGGAACCTCCTTAATAAATGGTTCATTAAATACATTAAGCTCTCTTCTAGGACTGAATTCCCTATGAAAGTCCACGATGTTGCATATATCTTTTTCATGAGGAACTTCACAAGTCTGGTTATTAACTGTCAAGAGAATAATAAGTATTCTTGTAGATAATAAATTAGTAAGGGTATTCTTGTAAATAGTTTGTTAGGTTTGTACTCCTATAAATACTAGTTGGTCACTCATAATACAGTGACTAGATGTTTTCCTTCCAAAATACCAGTTGACATGGTATCAGAGCAAAAGTCCTAGGGTTAGGGTTAAACATCTAGCAAAAGTCTTGACGCGATACTGTTCATCGCCACTGTTCACGCGGTACTGTTCACGCATACTGTTCACCCCGGTACTATTCACGCGCACTGTTCACGGCGCACTGTTTATAGCGAATTTTGATTGCTGTTTTGTTTGAAGTGCTATTCGCTATGGTTGAAAGTTTTGCTAATGGGGTTACCACTGATCAAGTTAAATCAAGTTCTTCAGCACATAGGTCCCAGAAAACTGTTATTATATCCGAGGAAGATTATGTTAAATTCTTACAGTACCAAACTACAAGTCACGCATCTCTTCCTCTGCTTCTTTAGCACAAAAAGGTAATGACTCATGGATTATTGACTCCGGGGCTACTGATCATATGTCAGGTACCTCTAAAATTTTTTCTAATTTTCAAGAGTCTACTCCCTTTCCTCATGTTACTTTAGCTGATGGATCTACCACTAAAGTTAAAGGACTAGGCACTGTAGAAATTAATCCATCACTTCCGCTGTCTTCTGTTCTTACGTACCCAATTTACCATTTAATCTAATGTCTGTTAGTAAGCTCACTAAATTTCTACAGTGTACAGTTACTTTTTCTCCTGATTCGTTGTCATTCAGGATTTGAAGACAAAGAGGACGATTGGTGGAGGGCATGAGCATAATGGTCTTTACTTTCTCACTTTAATGGTCCGATAGCATGTCCTGCTACTGTTTCTCCTCTTGAAATTCACTGTCGTTTAGGTCATCCGTCTTTACAAAATTTGAAAAAGTTGGTTCCTACTTTGAATCAATTATTTTCGTTAGAATGTGAGTCTTGTCAGTTAGGAAAGCATCATCGTGTTTCTTTTGCTCCTAAAGTCAATAAACGGGTTTCTGAACCCTTTTTGTTAGTTCATTCTGATGTTTGGGGTCCTAGTCGAGTCACTTCAAAGTTAGGTTTTAAATATTTTGTAGTCTTTGTTGATGATTTTCCAGAGTTACATGGCTTTATTTAATGAAAGATCGTTCAGAATTATATTCCATTTTTTGTGCATTTGTTACAGAAATAAAGAATCAATTTGGTGTGCCTGTGCGTATACTTCGCAGTGATAATGCGAAAGAATATTTTTCCACTCCTTTTAATACCTTTATGACTAAGTCTGGTATTATTCATCAGTCCTCTTGTCCTCACACTCCACAACAGAATGGAGTTGCTGAAAGGAAAATTGGACATTTAATCGAAATTGCTCGAACACTGTTTTGCACATGAATGTGCCCCAAACAATTTTGGAGTGATGCAGTTCTAACTGCATGTTATTTAATTAATCGCATGCCATCTAATATTCTTGAAGGTCAATTACCTCACTCCATTCTTTTTCCTCATGAACCTGTGTTTAAATTGCCTCCTCGTATTTTTGGATGTGTCTGCTTTGTTCATCAGCTTGCTCCCGGGGTGGATAAATTAGATTCTCGTGCTATTAAGTGTATTTTCTTAGGATATGCACGAGCGCAAAAAGGGTATAGATGTTACAGTCCAGTTTTAAATCGATTTTTTACTTGTGCTGATGTTACTTTCTTTGAATCCACTCCGTATTTTATCAAACAAAGTATGTCTTGTGAGTTAGACCAGTGTCCCTCTTTTTCCTCTCCTGTTTTACCAGTCCCTTCCCCTTTATTACCTGAGTTATCTAGTCCACCAGATTCCATAGCTCGATTATCTCGTCCTCATCTTCAAGTTTACTCTCGTCGTTCCATGGTTGAAAAAGTTCCTGATATGCCACGCACTTCACCAATTAATTCTCAATCTTCCAATCCAGGTATGACGCCCTCCTCTGAGTTAGATCTTCCCATTGCTTTACGCAAAGGTAAGAGACATTGTACTTCCCATCCTATTTCTAATTTTGTTTCTTATTCTCGTCTCTCTATGTCATATTCTTCTTTTGTTGCTTCCCTTGATTCTATCTCCATTCCTAAGTCTATTACCTATGCTCTTAATCATCCTGGTTGGAGATTAGCTATGCAAGAAGAGATGTCTGCTTTGGAACAAAATGGTACTTGGGATCTTGTCCCTCGTCCTTCAGGTAAGCCTGTTGTTGGTTGTAAATGGGTGTACACTATAAAAGTGCAGCCTAATGGTTCTATTGATAGATTGAAGGCTCGGCTGGTAGCTAGAGGATTTACTCAGGTGTATGGAGTAGATTACTTAGAAACTTTTTCTCCTGTTGCAAAGATTACCTCTGTTCGTCTTCTTATCTCTTTGGCAGCCACTTATAATTGGCCATTGCATCAGTTGGATGTGAAAAATGCATTTCTGCATGGAGATTTGAAAGAAGAGGTATATATGGAACAAACTCCTGGATTGTTGTTCAGGGGGAGAATCCGCGGTTGTTTGTCGTTTGAAAAAATCCTTATATGGATTGAAACAGTTTCCGAGGGCTTGGTTTGGCCGGTTTAGTAGTGTTGTCATGGAGTTCGGTCTGACAAGATGTGGAGTAGATCACTCTGTATTTTATCGGCATTCTAATACTGGTAAAATTTTATTAGTTGTTTATGTGGATGACATTGTGATTACAGGTGATGATGTTGTGGGGATTCAGAAACTTAAATCCAATCTGCAGGCAAACTTTCAGACAAAGGATTTAGGTCATCTACAGTATTTTCTGGGTATTGAGGTAGCTCGGTCTAAATATGGGATTTATTTATGTCAAAGAAAATATGTACTCGATATGTTGAGTGAAGTTGGGATGTTAGGTTGCCGACCTGTGGATACTCCTATGGATCCAAATGTGAAATTAGCAGGAGATCAAGGTGCATTACTTGATGATCCTAAGCAATATCGAAGACTTGTGGGTAAATTAAATTATCTCACTGTAACGAGACCTGACATTTCGTTTGCAGTGAGTGTTGTGAGTCAATTTCTTGATACCCCTCGTACTAGTCATTGGGATGCTGTTATACGGATTCTCAGATATCTTAAGAGTGCTCCTGGAAAAGGGTTGCTGTATCAAAATCATGGACACACTGATATTGAAGGATATAGTGATGCAGATTGGGCTGGTTCTGCCTCAGATCGAAGATCGACTACAGGATATTGTGTGTTTGTTGGTGGTAATTTAGTGTCGTGGAAGAGTAAGAAGCAAACAGTTGTATCCAGATCAAGTGCAGAATCTGAATACCGCGCTATGGCTCACACTGTGTGTGAGTTGGTTTGGTTGAAGAGCATATTACTGGAACTTGGGTTTGAGCATAAACAGCCTATGAATTTAGTGTGTGATAATCAGGCGGCTGTTCATATTGCGTCTAATCCAGTGTTTCATGAAAGGACAAAACATATTGAAGTTGATTGTCATTTCATTCGAGAGAAATTACTTGACGGGGTCATCAAGACATCTCATGTACCGTCTGTAGATCAATTGGCTGATGTGTTTACCAAGAGTTTAGGGGGTTCTAGGGTGAAATACATTTGTAACAAGTTGGGTGCTTATGATATATATGCTCCAACTTGAGGGGGAGTGTCAAGAGAATATAAGTATTCTTGTAGATAATAAATTAGTAAGGGTATTCTTGTAAATAGTTTGTTAGGTTTGTACTCCTATAAATACTAGTTGGTCACTCATAATACAGTGACTAGATGTTTTCTTCCAAAATACCAGTTGACATTAACAATGGAAGAGTCCACAAGGTTAACATTATTGTCTTGCGTGACTGTCTCCTTCCCTTGGTCTTTTATATCTGTAGGATCTAACCCATCTACTTCATTCAGTGTATCAGCCCCTCCATCCTGAAAGCCATGAACTTCTTTAGTCTCATTGAAGGGTGACTTTTGTTGGACTAATGACATCTCCAAATCCATACCATTGTGGTTGACTAATGACTCGTGTTCAGCCTCTTCTCCTGATTTATTGGAGTCAATGTCGTCATTGTCATCTTGTGAGGAGAACGGGAACAATGAAAACCATGCTTTGTTAATTATAATTAGCAAATATAAGTAAGGAAATCAATCATTCTAAACATTCCTTTCGGTTATCTCATGCAAATAACAAATCTTGGGATCATGAAATCTTGAAGAAACTGGAATTAAGAAAAAGAAAAAGAAACCGACTGAAATTGGACTCTCGGTAGATTTGAATGAACACGGGCGGAAAAGTTGAAACTTAAATCCTGGGAAGCGTATGTCACAAGCAATATGAATGGGCAAAGCATAACTTGAAAATTTCCATCTCCTCGTTACTCCCAGCTTACATCTCTACTTTATGATATCAATTCTATAGTTTTTTCCATGATTACCAGCTTATCAGAATTCGCTAAGCAAAGGCCTTGCTTTACCTTACTATTGTATTCTCTGACTTTTATGCGGTAGAAAAACAGCCACTTATAAAAGCAAAATACATTAGAGAGAAATGAAATTACCCGGTACTTGGGGTTGCGGAAAAGATTGGAGGGCATTGCAATGCGATAAGATGGAAAGCAAGGTACGGTAGGTTTGGCTCTGGAGGGCCGGCGCCGCAGCCGATTGGAATGAGGTGGGAAAGTAAAGAGATGGTCCCGGGTAGTCCCAAAACCTGAATTCTCCATGCTTTCTTGAATTCTGTTTGATTTTTTGTGGTCGTTGTGTAATTTGGGACTTCGAAAACTTTAGCTGATAGTCTAAACTTGGGGAAAATTTACAGGTTGGGATGGCTCTGGGCTACGGTTTTGCTGAATACCATGAAATGGCATCGTCTGGGGACGTCTGTCAGTAATAGTAGCAGTTTGCATCCTGGCGGTGACGACAGAAGAAGTGACCGGTGACGGTGAGGCGGCGGGTTGTACAGACTAGACCCTGAGAGGGGTTGAAAGCGTGAGCCTTTTACGGTTGGGGTTATGTTGGCGTGATTATATAAATTCGACTACGTTTGAGGGTTAGTTTTGGAAGGCGAGGGTGTAAAAAAGGGGGAAAAAACAAAAACAAAAACAAAAACAAAAACAAAAAAACTTGTTGGTTGTTTGGTAAAACGACGCCGCTGGACAAATACCAGTAGCAGTAGTTCGCTAGACTAGACAAAAGCCCAGAGCAAAACCCTTGGACCCTCTTTCCCTTTCGTTCTCCACAGCCCCGAACTTTCGCGCACACACAGTGAATGACTTAACTATATTGGAGAGAGAGAAGGATATCTTTAGAGAATTTGAAGAAGGAAAAATGGCGGTGAGGATAAGGTTGTCTCGGTTTGGGTGCAGGAACAAGCCGTTCTACCGGGTGATGGCCGCCGATAGCAGATCTCCTCGAGACGGCAAGCATTTGGAAGTCCTCGGCTACTACAATCCTCTCCCTGGTCAATAATTATATTTATGCTTCTTTCATTCTCTTTTGCTATCAATTATTCTATAAACTACTCCCCAGTTTGCTTCTTATCGTAATTATGCTCTTCATTTACTGCACGCTTGTTTCTTCAAAATTTAACAAAAAAAAAATTAATTGATTGATGCAGGTCAGGATGGCGGTAAGCGGATGGGTCTTAATTTTGACAGGGTGAAGTAAGTTATATACCCTTTTATTCACTTTTTTTGTTCTAAGTTTTCTTTTTTGTTCATTGATGTTTGTGATTTCGTTCTCCTTGAAGTTTGTATCGTTTTGGATACTACACTGCCTGCTGGCTATAATAGCTCTGTAATAAGCGCGGTTTTCTTGTAGAAATATGTCCATCTAGAGTTTAAATTTTCTGCTAGACTTAGTAAAAGTGGCTGCAAGTGTGGTCTGCCTGAACCTCGTCCAAATATTGAAATATCATATATCAATGTATCCACCGGGAAGATCCATGCCTGCCAGTTCAGGCAGACATGAACCTTTAATCAGATTTTTGTTTTTTTTTTTTGATATCTGAGCATGCTTGGTATACTGCCTAAACGACCTAGTAGTGCCTAATTGTGTGAGCTTAGCATTCATCTGGTTTGCAATCTTGTTTCTTCTTTGGTCTGCCTGATTCTCTTCTCTTGTTGGATGCTTCTATGTGGGTTTGTGTGTGGAAAGAATTCTCCTTTTCTACTTACATGTGAGAGTCTCCACCTCAACATGGTCAAAAGATCTTTTGTGTAGTAGTAGTAAATACTTTAGACTTTGTATGAGGCAGGTTTGATTTAAACTCAACATCTGACGGTGCTTATTCACCTTCATGGAACATATTGCTCACTAATCAAGCTTTGCATAAATTTTCACTTCCAATGTCCATTTTGTGAAGTTGGTAATGTATTAGTTGAAATATTTTAATTTCAGTGTGATTCCGCTCTTTGTATTTATTTAAGTAGAAGCTAGGTTGAGCTTTTCTCAGTAAGATAACTCATTATAGGCTGCTTTACATACCAATGTTTGCCTGTGATAAGATGCAAAACTCTGCAGTTGATTGAGGTATTTCATATCATTTCATTTCTGTAAGTTGAGAGCTATACAGAAGCCTTTTCTGAAAGTTCAGAAATCACTTGGTGCTTTTTTCCTGGTTTTCAAATGTAATTCAGTGTGAAAATAGTTACCATATAGCTGCTACACACTATAGAGGCATGGACAGATGGAATGTAGATGGTAAGAATCTCTTACCTTAGATAATGTTTTATAAATGAAGGACATGTAAGCACTTCCAAACTTCGAAAAGGCTCCTGTTGATGGTCCAAAAATGGCAATAAAACCATAACTCTCTATGAGATACGCCTCCCATTCTTGCTCAACATTACAATCTAGTGGGATAGAATATTAAGCTCTTTTGCAAGCCTGTTCTGTGGAGTATCTGCTATGTGGTTTACATATAACCGGTGATTTCTTTCAATTGTCGATTGAAATGTGAAAGTTATTTAATTGGTGACCTATGCTTGCTCTGTAGATATTGGCTCTCTGTTGGTGCACAGCCTTCCGAGCCTGTTCAACGTCTTCTTTTCAGATCAGGAGTGTTGCCTCCACCACCTATGTTGGCAATGGGACGAAAAGGAGGACCAAAGGATACACGGTGGGTTGATCCAATGACAGGACGTGTTTTTGCATCGGAGCCATCAAAGAATGCTAATCCCAAATCAGATGCCAATGATGATAAGGTAGATGAAGATGAAAGTGCTGCCACTGCTTGAACCCTTCCTGAACTCAAGCTGGAAGACCTACTCTTGATTTTGGAAATGTCCATAGAAGTACCAGATCTGCTCATTGATGTTTTCTTTTGATGATCTTTAAAATGTGCTGCCTGGAAGCTGTGCTAACCACAGAATGCAGATAGTTGTCAGTTGCTTCGTTTATGATGCTTTCTCACTTTCTTCTTGTTTGGTCCCCATAATGCGCTGATCTGAAAGAATTCTGTGCTGAGTAAAACCAAAATTTCTTTTTTTTTTTCCGGAATTATTCTTTAAACTCCGATGTACTCTATTGCAGTGCCATCATGCACGAGTGAAATGTGTAGATGTTTCATTGTATATGAATTTTTTCTTGATCGTAGACTCTGCTTTTTGGATAATTGTTTGTACAGTCGGATGCTGAAACGAAAGACGGAAAGAGCGCTGAGTGTGAATCAAAGGCAGATTGACACGCCTCAATGACCTGTGGAATATGCGGATTTGGATTCTGCTTAAACTGATGCCAAAATGGTAATTGAGGATCTAAAAATCTGTGAATGCTACTGATTCGATTCGATGGACAAGCATTAAGCAGCCCTCGACTCATCGCCTACTAGCTGCTGACCTTATAAAAGATCTTCAAAAACCTTCGTCCCCGCTGTTGCAATATGAGATATTTGAAAACTTCAGATATATATTTTTCTTCCGAAAAAAAAAGGTAGTACAAAATTCTACTATGTAGGAGTAATTCTGAATCACCCCAAGTCCCCAACCTACCCAACAAAACAGAACAAGAAAAAATGAAAATAAAGATACCGACAACCCCCCCCCCCCCCCAATCCCCCAAAAACCAAAAAAAAACAAAATCCAAAGAAACAAGAGAGAGAGAGAGGGAGGGAGGGAGGGGAAAAAAAAGGGAAAAGGAGAGAACACTGCTTAATACACCTACCAATATAAATGGAGCCCAGGCCTGGACTGGCGGAGGGCTAGGCTTCGGGGACAGAGATATATACTTGACTTGATGGAGTGGTGAGAGCAAGGAAAAAGAGAGGAGAGGGAAGGAATTGCCGATTTGCTACAACTATAGTACACTAATAATTAATTAACGAGGCGCTTTAGCTTTATTTGCTTTAGCTCATCCATCCATCCATCCATCCCATATATATATATCTTCCCTCTCTCTCTTTTCTTTCTTGCCTCCCCTCGCTTCTCTTATTCTCTTCTAATCTTCTTCTAGGGTTCTAGGGTTTCTCCCCTCCCCCCCCCTCGTCTCCCGCCAACGAGGCCTGTTCTGCGAAAATGAGCAACAGCAAAGACAACTTTAACGTTTCCGATCTCACCTCCGGTATTAACTACCTAAAACCCTTTTTCCTCTTCTTCCTTCTAACCCCCCTCCCCAGCCCACCCCAAGCCCCTATGTACGGAAACTATTAGTTACATTCCAAGATTGTTTTAGTTACCTTTGTGATTGTTATTTTAGTTACTTTTCTGGGTTGTAATTGTTTTTTTTTCAACTTGTTATTTTTAGCTTTGAATGCTGAGGATAGAGCGGACCTTGTTAATGCTCTCAAAGTAAGTTCCTTCTGTCTTTTTTTTCTGTTCTCTTTTTTGGTCTGTCGCAAATCTCTGTTTTAGAGGCTTGGCGAATAATCACACTGATTAGGATTTCGTTGGGGCTGATTCTGTTTTGTGGATTTTTCATGAGCTTGTTGAAATTAATGGTGTACGCTACTTGCCTCTTTTTTCTTATGCAGAATAAGCTTCAAGATCTTACTGGGAAGCATTCAGATGTGTTGGAGAACTTGTCGCCGGTAGTCAGGAAGCGTGTTGAGGTTCTAAGGGGCCTTCAGGCATGTGATTTAATCTCTAACACTGTTACTTGTAAATACATGGGAATTTAAAATAGTGTACTAGTGTGTGTATTTCTGCTTGGATAGGCGTGCAAATGTTTCAGCAGTTTCTTGTAGCTTTTATCAGCTTTTGCTCAATTGTCTTCCAGTCAATGATTAAATTTGGTACAGCTGTATGTGGTTGGAAATTGGGAAAGATATTAGTTCTACCAATTTTGAACGATCGACTGCTTGCCCTTTGGTCATAAAATGTTATTTTTCCAGCCAGATAATGCTCCATAGGTGGTTCCATATTTGTAATTACTTGGATCGCAGATGTGGGATTTACACCTACTGTAAAATGGGATTTACACCACCCTGAGGAAAAAAGGTTTTCCTTTTTATTTTTCAATTTAAAAACTGATCACTGGATGCATTTCTTGACACTTCTTGTATTAACACAGCTAAACCTTGTTCTGTTTGTAGGTATTTTAGAATCTCGGTTTTGCAACAGTTGTTTAAATTTTTCTTTTAACTCCAGACGTCTTATGAAGAGCCAAAATGGCATCCCAAGAGTTTGGAGTTGAGCAACCAGATCCAGTTGGGGTCTGTAGTCATAAGAAAGTTGAACTTAATTTATCTGTATAAATGATGCTACAGTGATATGATGAAAATGAAGTCCAAGACGTAGTAGTTGCCTATCACTTTCTGTGAAACCACATCTGATATGATTGTATTTATCTGAATGCTACTTCCTTTCTTGATGTTGAAATGGTTTTGGTTGATTTGTGGATTTCAAGCGTTTAACTGCTTATTTGTGTATTTCTGTCTTCCTAATCAACAGAGCGAACATGATGAATTGGAGGCTAAATTTTTTGAGGAGAGAGCAGCTCTGGAAGCCAAGTATCAGAAGTTATATCAACCACTTTATGCCAAGGTCAGCAATGCTTTTGCATGATATTTTTGGTGCTAGTTCCCATCAAACTGCAGGCTTAAAGTTGAATTCTGTGTTGTGATGAGAAATTTTGATTATGTGCAGAGGTATACTATTGTGAATGGAGTTGATGAAGCTGAAGGTGCTACAGCTGAAGCAGCTGAGGCTGCAAAAGAGGATGAAACAACTTCAGAGGGTAAATTTCACGATATTTTGGAATCTGTTCCTTGGTTGTCCATTATAAAGCTTGACATCTACTTGTTATGCAGATAAAGGTGTTCCTAGTTTCTGGCTGACTGCAATGAAGAATAATGAAGTTATTGCCGAGGAGGTTAGTCATTCTAGCAACAATTTTCTTACTCGTGCACTTTTTGCTCCAATTATTTTGGGCTATTAACTGGGTTGATGAAAATCGAGCCAGATTTCTGAACGAGATGAAGCAGCTCTCAAATTTCTCAAAGATATAAAGTGGGCAAGGATTGATAATCCAAAGGGTTTCAAGCTTGAGTTCATTTTTGACACCAATCCTTACTTTAAAAATTCTGTTCTGACCAAAACATATCACATGATTGATGAAGATGAGCCTATTCTAGAGAAAGCAATAGGGTAAGCTGGGGTTTACTTTGTCAGTCACTATGTAAGTGCTATTACAACATTTTCCCTCTCTCTTCTCACTTTTTTGTGTTCCTGTAGGACGGAGATCGAATGGCACCCAGGAAAATGCTTGACTCAGAAAATCCTTAAAAAGAAGCCTAAGAAGGGGTCAAAGAATGCCAAGCCAATCACTAAAACTGAGCAATGTGAAAGTTTTTTCAACTTCTTTAGTCCGCCACAAGTCCCTGAGGATGATGAAGACATTGATGAAGATGCTGTAAGCCAACTTGCCTTTATGCTTAGAAGGAGAAAGCTGTTCTTTTCCTCTCTAACTTCTCTTCTTCATGATTTTTGAACAGGCTGAGGAGCTCCAGAACTTGATGGAACAAGACTATGACATTGGGTAAGTTGTACAGTAATATTCTTTATGAAGAACTTGAAACTTTGGATATATTGTGTTTCTTTTTGGGCCCTTGAATGTTTAAATGATTGTTTCCTTGGGTTCATGGTTCATGTTTATCATATCAATGAAGTGGATGCTTTTCATTCTTGTTCCTGCAGTTCTACCATTCGAGATAAAATCATCCCATGCTGTCTCTTGGTTCACTGGGGAAGCCGCTAGTGATGAGTTTGCTGAAATAGATGATGATGATGATGAAGAGCTTGATGATGAGGAGGAGGAAGATGATGAGGACGAGGAGGAAGATGACGAGGACGAGGAGGATGATGAGGAGGATGATCAACCCAAGAACAGGAAGAAGGTAAAAGGATTAGGACTTTTGTTGTTAGTGATAGCTGTGTTGGTTTTGATCCTTTTCTTGTCACATCATTTCTGTTTTCTTTCGTCCTTGCTTGCCAATATTTTTTGTTGTTAGTTTCACTGAAGGTGTGATTTCTAATAGTCTATTTCCCTGAAGTTATATGATCCAATTTATGTATGTCAAATGTTGATGATTTGTTTTGCTGTAAATTGTAGAAGAGTGGAAGAGTACCAATTGGTGACGGTCAGCCGGGTGAGAGACCTCCTGAATGTAAGCAGCAGTAACGTTGCATTGATCACTTTTGGATTCTGGAGTGGCTGGGGTGTGCATTGATGGGTATTGCCAAACAAGAGGAGTTGTGTCAATTTTGTGTGTTCTGCTTGGATCATCATATGCCATCATATGAACAGTGCTAGAATCCATTTTCTTAATTTTCCTATATTTTTGTTTTGTATTCTTTTCTTGGTTCTGGCTTTGGATATCATGGTGAAATAGTTAGGGATGTTCATGGAAATTGTTGGATTCTGATGCTGAGACATTTGAGTATAGCTATACAGCCATGTTAGCGTAGTCATTGCATCTTACTCCAGGAGTTCCTTTAAGGAATCCTCCACTGTGATTTTCCAGTCATGGAATTGTGCTTGTATTGAGTGAACATGAGTTAGGTCCTATACGTAATTAAGTTCTATTCAAGCCCCTATATTGGGATTTGCTGATTTATGCAAGATTGAAGTAAAGCGTACTTGATCGGAATTTCTGAACTGAGCTAATAATCAGGAATGGTGCTTACTATGGTGCTCAGTGCTAAATTTATCCAAATCTAGACGTTGGGAAAGGAAACTGACAAAAGTCACGGTGCTTTTCTCTGGACTTCTGATGATGGTTTGAGTCATTAATTAATTTGTAGAACGAACTTACAAAACACATCATTTCCTAAGTATCAGCAATGGATACAGATACAAAAATCTTTAAAAATGAATATGTTATTATATAGTTTGCATTGTTATCATGATTCGTACGTCGCTTACAATATTTTTGTAATTTGTATTCCTCATATGACCCAGCTTGGCGGCTATTTGCGAAAGCTTGAGCAAGTTTGATGGTAAAGTTTTTGTGCTGTAACGATATGTTGTTATTTCTCTCACAAGTCCTCAATGACTAGGGCTGTCAATGGGTCAAGTTTAGATTCTGATCCAATTCGGATCCGATAAATTTTTTCGAGTTTGGGTTGAAAAATAATTTTGATATCCGAACTCGTTTACTCTAACGAAAAACGGGTCGAATATGAAATAAAGAATTTCTTTTCGTATTCGATCCGAATTCGAACAATATATTAATAATTATAAAATATAAATATTTTTAAATACATTTTTTTTTATCAAATTAACAATTTAGTCATGATTTTATAGATTGATTTGTGATTAATTTTGAATTGACTATTGCGAGTTATTTGTGATTTAGCTTTATAATTTGATTTATTTAAGTTTGGAGATTGGATTTTGTGATTGGTTTTGGATTTAAATTTGAAATGTTTAAGTTTGGACATTTTCTTTTTGAGTAGACTCAGATCCGATCCGGAATCCATCGAATCCGGTTCCGAGACTCTAAGGTCAAGACCCGTCGAGTATACAGGTCGGATTAGGTTTACTACATAAAAAGGGATTCAAATCCAAAATTTTCAATTTCGACCCAAACCGACCATTGACCCCCTAGCAACGACAGGTATTTTGTCAAGAATTCATAACGATTGAACAAAATGTGGTTAATGGAGCGGAAACACCAATCCTTTTTTTTTTTTTTTCGTAGGGAGGAGGGAACCTTGGCTCTTTTGGCTTAATTTTTTGGATTAATTTATACACTGAGACTGTATACATCGTCATAATCATTGGATACATGATAATTCATCCAAATTTAAAATTAAAATCTATATTTTATTCATATGCCATGCATTCAACCGTGATAATTTATATGCAATGTGAATGTATTCTAATAACACACGGGAGTGTAAAATTTGTATCGGGATCGGC